TAGAAAATATCAAATTATATATAGTTTTTAAATTAAAAGTTGAAATGTCTTTTAAATTTTCTTCTTGTTGCAACATTCATTTACACAGAATTCCCACAGATCTTCCTATATACCTGGCTTAGAAGTCTGAGCACAAAACAATCAGAGTAAAAAATACACTTACATGCTACAGACTATCAAAATGCTCTTTCCTGGAGGGCAGCAGGTTGCAGTTAAGTATAAAACCAGAAGTAGGCCAGGCTTGCAATTATTCTTCTAAGTCTTCTTTATCAGAACTCTAGGGAAAATGACTGCTTGTGAAAGAGGTCTGGAAAGTTATCAAGTTCAAGCTTCTAGCAGTTACAAATGCAGTGCAAATAATGGCTCAGTGTTCAGAGAACTCACTTTGCATGAAATTCCATGCTAACCTACATAGCTAGTAACTTCACTATGTCAAAAGTAATTACCTTCTTGATGTAGCAGATATAATAACGTGTTTGAAAACAGCATATGATTACAGATAGTGAGAACAGGGTTGATTAGTAATATGTCTGGCCAAACTGATAAAAGACAAAGCTTAAAGAAATAATGAGAGTGATGACAAATCCAGTGAATGTAACAGAAACAATTCAATATGATAAAGCATGACTAGGAGGCAAAGGCATCATGTAGTTTCAACATTTTTCAGAAACCAAGTGTCCACTGCTGTAATTGGATAGAACTTGATTAAGGAGAAAGCTGAAAAAGCATTACATTATAAAGAAAAAACAGTGTAAAACCCAAAACTCTGAATTTTGCTTTCTGTTAGGAGCATTTATCCAGTAACGTAATCAAAACTGGAATTTTTACAGAGCAAGATTTTAAACAAAATAATACTAAACGTGAAGAGCTTTGTAGTAATATACCAATTTGATTTTTAGTAATATGTTCAGAACATATTTCATGTGTTAGGCAGTCTTAAAGGAAATAATGAAATACTGAACACAAGCTTCTCTATAATTAATAGAAGTATGTTCAGTTAGCTGCTGTGTATAGCAGATATGTTGTTTTCATTCATATCTGGTTCTACTGGGTTTTGTCTTTCAAATTTCTTTGTGAGCTCCAAGATCCTTATACATTACACAAACAGAAAAGTCAAAGCAAAATTCAATTCCTTTGCCAAAACCAAAAGTACAAAGATGCAGAATAGTATATATTAAGGAAAGGAGAAAAGTTTGCATCCTCTCCCAGAACAGACAACTAAAGCAGATGGTGTGATTTTTATTCATTTATTACGGTGATATAATTTACACAGATTAATTAATAGATATCTGCAGGTGAGATGAATCCCATTCTTGGCGACTAACTAGATACTTGTATAGAAGTAAATTTTGAATCTTTATAAACAATGTCTGAAAAGCAATTCTGTCCTAGCCATTACAGGGCATCATAGAATCCCAGGATATCTGAGGTTTGAAGGGAACTCTGTAGTTTATCTAATTTAACCTCACCTGCTCACGGTAGGGTCTGCTACAGCAGATTTCTTAGGACATTGTCCAGTTCAATTCTAGATATCTCCAAGGATAGAGACTGCAGTCTCTCTGGGCTACCCTAACAGGAAGTGCAGAAGGAAGGCAGAAAGGCAGGCAGGCAGGAAGGAAGGCGGGAAGGAAGGCAGGAAGGAAGGTTCCCTGCATTCAATTTGTGTCAATTGTTGCTTATTGGGCAATTACTTGCTGACAGAGTGCAGGAAATTGAAAAAGTCATACAGAACTTTGCAGAGTGCTAACAGGCATATGATTAAGAACTTAGATCATCCTCTCTGGTCACAGGAAAGCATTTCTATAATTTTTTTTTATTTTTTTTTTAAGAATAAATGTATTCACAAAATATTTTCCAGAAGCAATGCCATGGCAGTGGAAAAGTACACCTGGAGACTAGATCAAAAAGTATATTTTTCTGCCAGATATATCTCATCTCTCATAGTTCTTTTCTAGAGATCCCTGCTACTCTAAGCTATGTTAGAACTTGCTGTAATGTGTGTACTGATTGTCAGGTGAGAATAGTCTAAAACATACGAAAAGTATGTAGTACCCATTTTTCAGAGAGTGCAAGATGTCTGGGTGTGTCATTGGTATTTTTTCTCATATTATTCGTGAATACATTAAATCTGTAAGTATAGAAGAGTACATCAAGTTTAACAGCTTGACACCATTCTTTTACTATGGATACACCAATGTATTAACTACCTTACTCATCCTAGGGCATTTCTCACTTAGCTTTTAAATAGTATTACTTCTTCCTTTAAAAAAGACATAGATTTGCTTATGCATCAACATAAGTGAACCTATTCCTTTTGGGGATGCATTGTTGTTCTTTATCTATTTTTTCCACTATAAAACCCAACTAAACTAAATAAATCCCCCAAAACAACAATAAAATACCCCATACAATATTCCTTTTAGGTCATATCTTGGTAGGTTGGAAATCCACAGTGGTATGCTCAGACAACTTCACCTCTTGAGTACAGACACAGTATCAGAAGGCAGTTCTTGCAGTATGAATTTTATCTGTGTATTTATGTATGCATACTGAGAATGAAATCTTTGTAGACAAGCATTCACAGGAAAACAACTGTATTGTATACCTCACAAAAATGTTTTATTCGTCGTTTGGTGCCTTTATCCATATCTTTCCTTGTCTAGAATAATTTTTTCCCCCCTAAGTTATTTAAATTAATGATATAAAATAATTTTTTCCAATACAAGCCCTCAAGCAAATAATGGAAAGCAAAAAACCTCTCCTCGACTTTATGGGTATTTGTTCCATTTTATAAAACTATAGTATAAAAATGTAGACCAAACCAAACAATATTCCTTAATACTTAATTCCATAATTCTTAGGTTTTCCTGTGTCCTTTTAATTCCCTGAAATAATTTCTGAAATGTTGTAATATTCTAAAAATAATATTGCTTTTACAAAATGCAGCCATCATTTGTCTCATTTTGTAAGGAGAAGTGGCAAGTTAATTATACTACATACAAAAAGATTTTGTCTCAAGAGATATACATTTTTCTCTGTACCTATTGCACATTAAAATATTTGATTATACTTACATACTACAACCACTGAGATACTTCCTGTGTTTCTATGTAAGCACGATGAAAGGAACACCTGAAATCCTGAAAAGATTATTGTAGTGAGGCGAAACTGTTCAGTTGCTGATCTGTCAGCATTGTAGCAGCCTCCAGCCTGCTTCTGTAGTGTTCTAGTAGCCTGTGTGGCAGAACATGAAGAATAGCCATCTGTGTCAGGTATGGCAGCTGGTGCCATATCAGCTACTGCCGGATGACAATAAATCTCTTCCAAGCACCTGGCAACTTTGACAGACACTTTTATCTTTGTATAAAAACACTCCACCACCTCAAAAATTTCTGTGAATAGAAATGAGAAACTCAACAGAACACCAGCTGATAAAGGCCAGAACCTACTCCACTGCAGGTACACTGTGAAGTCTAGGTAACAGGACTGGCTCATGAGTCCTTACCATGCACAGCAGTCATTTGTTTCAGTACAGTATTGCTAACATACTTGTATAAGCCAGGACTTGAAGCAGGATAACAGGCATGTAAAAATAAACGGTTTATCATTTAAATTTTACAAATTTATGTTTTCACAGATGTGACTTGTGCCAATAAAACCAAGTAGGATATCTCATTATTAGGGGATTCAAACAATGACAACTTTCCAGCATATCCCTTAGTAATTCTGTTCCTGAAGTTTTTGTAGGAAGAAGATATGCATACGAGCACTTGATCAGATTGTTTTAAAAATATTTTAAGAGTCTCACCTACCTTTATGAATAGATGTGTTTTGAACTCCAAGCTACTATTAACTATGTCAGTGAAAAGTAATTCTTGAGATACATTACTCAGCTGAATGTTTCTGAAAGTACCCTGACTTCACTTCATGAACAGATTTCCATGTCTGGATCATGCAGTTTTGTCTCCAGTATTAGTTGAATTTCCTCTGCTGTCAGCTATTCACCAGTATCTAATAATTTTGTCAAGTTTATATTTGTCTCTTTAAAGAATATAAGTGATGAAAATTATGATTATAAAGAGACAGTCTTTGAAGGAAAATAGTCAGAAAATATCAATCAAAATATGGAAGAAGAGGCAGAACAAGCTGTTCAGTCAATCAATCAATCTCAACAGAATTCTGTATACCAAAAACCAACATTCCCTAAAACTCATTTATTCAAATTCCAAAACAACAAAACAGGACTCAGCTTATTTTTTATACAAGTAATCACTTTGAAGATGTATATAAGGAAAAATTCTGAAACTATGTCTAAAGAAAATGCCTGATACACACTACTTGTATAATACTGTTTTTAGTAAAATGAAGAGGCCACAATGAAGGTACAATCTTCCCAATAAAATGTTGCACTTTTGTTACTTTTCACCTTTTGCAAATGTTTTTAAAATAACAAGATAGGCAATTTTTGGCTTCCCAAAAACATCACTACAAACAATTAGAATGGTAGAGACTTTGAGAGATTTGTCCAATACAAAAAACATCTAGATGCACAGAAAAAGAAACACTCAGAAAACATGTGAACTAGGAAAAGAGAATCAAAATCCCCATGGAGTAAGGCAAATTATCTTTCTCTCCTGCTGACTAGCCAAGGAAGAAGGGAAGATTGGCATTAGAATCAGAGATTACTGAACACAATATGTGGCATATGAAATTGTACACTCTGGAAAACTTAAAACCCAGCTAAGAGAAAGTGGAGTTTTCCTTACTGGACAAGAAAGATGCTGGGAAAAAATCTTGTAAGAGAAAAGAGTAATTTTACAGTTAGATATATATGCAATTACAAAAGGATGTTGAAGTAAATAAAAAATATAGAAGGGAATTAATGAAAAAAAAATCTTAATAATTAACATTAATATATTTCCAATATTCTTACCATTTTAGAAGCATTAACAAGGAAAGAAGTTTGGTATATTCATTTTTCAGAAGCTCTTTCTACTCACCTTGGGATAGCTCTCCTTTATGAAAATCAGGAGAAACATGTTTAGACCAAAGTTCCATAGACACAGCCAGTGCTGATGGAAGGTCATTGTCTAAAATTTCAGCAGGAAACACTTCAGCCACTTCAGTGAGAATGTTCTTACTTTGGGGCGTAGTAGGTAAACAGGTGATATTGTTTATTCCATCAACACAAAGAAACCCAGTGGAGCAGGAGTGTATAAGACAATCATTGTAATTAAGCTCACAGCTTCGTCCCTGAAAGAAAATTTTCCAAAAAAAGCCATTTTTTTAAGGCAATTTACATTTCATAGTGATGTTGGTTACAATTATTACTTGTTTATAATTCTAAAATATTGTTTGCTTATATTAAGCTGTTTATACTTTCAGAAGGAAATATCATGTGAAAAATATTCCTTAACTAATTTAGTAGTATAATTGTATATTTTAAATTTTAACCAAGTAGCATTATTAATCTGATTATCAATAAAAATAATTTCCCTACAGATTTGTAATTGCCAACTATTAATTGGCAACAATATTGTTGCCAATAATAAAAACTGGTTAAAATAATAATAATCTTCACTTAGTATGTAGTTTCACAAAAGCCTTTTTACAGTGGACTTAGCTGTCAAAAAACCTATGGCTTGCTCTGACTTGCAAGATAATGTTCTTTCCTTTTATACAGTGCAGCCCATTGTTTGTTGTTTGTTGTTACCTAATCTGCACACAGCTCCCTGTTAATATCTTGCATTCACAGATAATGCTTAGAAACAGAAGAATATAGTGGCAGTATCAAATTGGACCAGGCATTCATTTCCTATTTTTTATCAAGAGTAACAATCCATGGGAAATCTGAAAAATCCTCCCTAGTAATAAAGTTAAAATGTTCATATTCAGTGGTCTGTAAAAAGGCAAGGAATAATTATGTGAATTAAATTCATTCTTGATGTGTGAAATAAATATATGCTGAAGTAAGGCCTGGGTTCATTTTATTTTCACTTCTGTTTCAACGAACGAATAGGCTATGTGAAGATAGACAGCTAGCAGCTATCCTAGAAGGATAATATATATTTGGATATCTATTTAAAATACACACACTGTCATCCCTGAAGGCATATATCTCTGACAACATATCATCATGATATAATTTCTGACTGAATCTTCTGCAACTGGGGCACATGTAAAAAAATCCAAGCTTTCTCTAGAGCTCAAGGATCATGCGTTCATTACACACTTTCCTTCAGACAAATGCTTAAATAGTATTTCATGTCCACCTGGATAACTTTTCACACAGAACTTGTGACAACTTACATTTATCTCTGAATTATATTAATTTATGATATTATGAAACAATAGTATGGACGAGAGAGAGAGAGAGAGAGAGAGAGAGAGAGAGAGGAAGAAAAGTACACATAAAAACTGAAATTACTTTTTTTACAAGTAGTTTAAATTATTCAAGGTTTAAAACAGAAGAGGTTCAATTCATGGATTTTGAGTGATTTATATACATTCATGCTTGTTTCAATCAACTTCTTAATTTGTTTTGGCAATCTGGTAAATTCATGGCATCTTATAAAATCACTCACTGATCGGTATTCCAAAGTACAAAGGAACAACAGGCCAATTAATGTCAGTTTCAATGCATTTCCTCCTTGTTTTTTTCTAATTCTGCGCATAGAAGAAATGATCAGTTTGAGCAAGCTCATAATCATTCTTAATCCTATAAAACTTATGTTTCATTCTGACTTTCCTGTGACAGATTAGTACATTTTTATGACTACTACATTTAATGGCAAAGAACATTTGATTACAATTTTATGACTCATAGAAACAAAGCAGATGTGGATAACCTCCAGTGTGCATGAAGGGTACATTAAGTAGTCATAGATAAATTTGATAGCACAGAAAGTGCCTGTAAATGCCTTAACAGTTTCCATGCAGTGGGATGGAATTATTTAGTTTGTGCAGATTTGTATTTAAAATTTAGTATATGTCTATAGATGGTTCCACTTAAAAAGTAAACATTGATTTCATATACTACTGGCTATGCTTTTCTTCTCAAAATTTATGAGAGATTTTGCAATCCATACTTTATGATCCATACTTTGGATAGCAGTACAGACATAGATTACAGAAGATTTACATACACACTGTAGCTGGAGTTCCTTGAATACTTATTTCTCAATGAGTTCCTTTTTTTCCACTCCACACCTACTCATGGTTAGGAACCAGAACCCACTGGGGCCTAACCTCTTGAGGTTTTTAGACCATAACTTCTTATCTTTGACATTGAAGATAGGTATGTCATAAATGTTTCTCTGGTGGTTCCCCCACAGTGTTTTCTTACTTTTATACTCCTTCTGAAAGCATAGTGGAATTGGAGGGACTGAAGATGGAAAAATGAATAATGGAATAAAAAGCAAAGATGATACATCTTAAATTTCAGCTGCTTCAAAGGCTTGTTACTTTTCCTTCTGCAAGGGCTTGCTTTTTCTGCAACATACTGTACAATTAATACTCAAGCTATGTACTAATAGAAAAACTGCCCCCATGGGTCAAATATCTATCTAGCTCCATCATCAGCGAGCTATTAATTCATACTTTGGGAAGAAAACAGGAAGAACAGAAGCAGAGCTAGCATCTCTAACTCACCAAATGTACCATTCCAACGTTTGGCAATAAGTAATTCAAAGACTTCCTGGGCCAGGGCAATATTCAGAACATTAATTTGAATTACAATGAATCTATCTCCTTTTAACACATTTTTTTTATTTATTTGTACTTCTGGTCTCTACAGTGTCACACAACACTGACTTGTACCAATACATTTTGCACTAATTTAAAAAATAATTTCTCTAAACAGACTTTAATTATTGTCTCTTCTGGTTTTATTTGGCATTCAGAAGACTTTATTTTGGTGAAACATAAATGGTAAAAAAATTGTGCAACTGATCTCCATTACAGTTGTTCACGTAAGAGAAGCACAAATACTTAATGAAAAAATGAGATTATTTTACTATAAGGATCTGACTGTTTTCCATATAAAAAGACTATGGCCCTCAAGTGATATATCCTTCATCATCACTTGACACTGTTTTGAAAGCCAATCTGCTTTAGAAGACAAAAAAACAGCAGTTACCATGGTCTATGGGAAGTATCAGTTACCCATTCTACTCTGTAAAAACCACCTTTCAAAAATGATATTAATTTTTATGAGATAGGTTTTTTCCTTCTCAGAATAGTTTGTCAGTAAATTTAGTCAGATCATTTGCATTGTTAAGATACATTTTTACCTAGCAAGCCCTTGTAAAATACAGATTTTACAAAATTGTAGACAAAGAGTCACAGGGACAGGGAGAAATTCCTGGCAAATTCCTTGAAGTAATCATGTCACTTCTGTGATTCCATTTCATTCAAGAAGTATCTCAACAAACCTGAACAAACCTGAAAAGAAAAAGGTGTATTTTCTGTGCAATGTTGAATATCCAGGTAAAAGGAAAGATAAGAAATAATTTCAGCATCTCACCACAAATCCTGGCTTGCAAAAACAGGAATAACCAAAGCTGGGCTCCTTCTGAACACAGATACCGTTTATGCAGGGGTTGGATATGCACTCATCAACATCCAGTTCACAATGGAGGCCTTCCCATCCTGTCAGAAAAAAAAGCAGGGCAAAACTCAAAGCAAGACTCATTAAAATCTACATCTATTTACTGCGTGTCAATGGAACAAAGGTATGGGTAGCTATCATCCATTTTCACATATATAGAGATATATTCTATGGGATTAATTAATTTTTTGGGCTGTGGTTTCTCAGAGTAGAAAAAAATAAAGGAAAAAGTTAAAAAAGAGGAACTCTGAGGTTATTCTACCAGATCAATGAGGAGGACAATTTGTGAGCAAATACAGCTTTGTGTTTGAACACCATGAGATTCTGTCTTCTCAAAGTTGATTAGTCAGATTACTGGAAATTTTATTGTCATGCATGTCTTACAAAAATCTCCTTTACAAGTAAGTACACTATAAATTACAGGCTCAATACACATCTTGAAGCTGTGTTTAAGTTCATATAATTTAAGCCTGCCTTGAACTTGCTCCTTGTAGACTAAATTGAAATGGAATCAGTCCATTTGCTTGGTAAATACAAACATGGGATTAAGTAAAATATGGCTAGTTATTGAAGAACACCAGACTTTCTGCCATGTTATTCCCACCACCCATTGCAGATTTGATTTTTCTTCATTTTACTATTTCTAAACAAACTAACCAAGAAAACCCAACAGCCCCATAGCAGTCCTTGGCTGTTACAAATCTAGCTGCCACTGTTCAGACTTCACCTCAGAGTATGCATCAAATGGATTCACTTGTTACATTCCAGTCTTGCTTTAGCTGCCCTGGTAGAAAAGCAGCCTGCCCAGCTGAAGACTTCACATCCATGAGCCTGCTATTAGTTCCAACAGCTGCTGTTGTTGCTTTCGAGCTGTCTGAGGTGTTGTTAGAACACAGTTTACATCTCTCCATGCTGCTTCTGCACCTGAACAGCCTGAAGCTGCAGCCACAGAACCTGAACATGCATCCATTATTCTAAGGGTATGGGGACAATACTGCTTCTAGGACAATAGCTGACAAAATTCATGATCCATTACAGAATGAATTTGTCAGAGCTAAACCCATTCCCTTTCCTGGTATCACATGCTGTCACCACATGCTTCACTTTGTTCTCTAGAGGTTTTCGGAAAGCTGCAATCATCTGCCTTGTTCCTATTTCAGTCTTGGTACTGTCCCTTTTCCATTTCATTAAATTACAACAGGGAATCTGTTGAGGGGTATATCAGAGTATCTGCCCAGTTCTTTCCCATTGTTGCCTTTATAGACCAAAAAATCCCCAATCTCAGCTTCATATTTCTATAGGTGAAGTTTAGAAGAGAAATATAAGATCTATTATATGTGAACAGTCAAAGCCTGCAAAAAAAAAGCAGATTTTTTTTCCCTAGGTATTTCTACTTTCTCTCTGGATGATATATTTTTTTTCTTCTAATCCCTTTCTTCAGTTGTGCCACTTTGAAAAGTTATTCCTCTCAAAGTTTCCCCTGCCACTCCAAATTCACCCCATTTCAGAGCTGTAACCTTCTCATCTCTTCAGCTGTTTTAGAGATTCAAATAACATTTAAAAATACCATGTTAATTACAAAAAAAAAACAAGAGATGTAAAAATTATATATATGTTTAATGCATGTGGTTCTTTTTCTGTGTTTTTACCTGGTGGAAAAGTAATTTACATATCTTTCACCCCTACTAACTTATGATATTATTAGAAGGAATACAAAAAAAAAAAAGGCAGATTATGCTTGGGTTGGAAGGTGTTTAAAAATGTTAGCTGTAGGAGTGAGTTCCAAGGCCCCAGAGAAGTTTCTTCTACTTATACCAAGATTTTCGATGTTGCATAGAGACAGCAATCATAGTCATTGACTAGTGAGCAATTTTTCAATGTCTATATTAAAATATCTTTGATGTATTATTTTAATAAGTTTAAAAATAAAGAAAAAAATGGACTTGGCAATGCATTCTGTGTGAAACACTTTAATGACTAAGAAATACATTTTTAAATCTTTAAATCGCTAGTATTGGTGGAGAGGGCTCTGGCCATATGCAGTACCAGGTGGATATGTAGTTAGTTATAGATAAGTTAGGTCCATGGTTATAGATAAGTTAGGTCATGACTCAGATTTTTTAAGATCAGAAAGATCTTTATTATCATGAATTCTGTATGAAAAAGTGCAAAAAAATTTCACTCATTGGTTCATACATCAGAACTGTATTGTTTTTTCTGATTATCAAGTATCTCTTTGACATTAAAATGTTGCTAAAAAAATATTAAGCTGTTATCAACATAGTCCTACACATAATTAACCGTTATTAAGCCAAAGATACTTAGATCTAAGTCTTATATGTTAGAAAATCATTCCTTATTATCAATTAAACAAATTAATAAACTGCCAAATTGACTCATTATATGCATGCATGTATTTACTTCAGTATCTTCCATACTTTTTGAATATCATCTCTTACATATAGTTTTGTAAACTGCATTAGGAATTACATTCAGAATGGAAAAAAAAAATCAAAAAATATTAATATTCAATTCAATATTTGCTTTCTTTTAAATGTAGAACAAGAATAATTAGAAAGACTCTAGGAAAGTGTAGTATATGTACAGCCACTTGACTTCAGATGAGTTTGCTAACATGTTTTTCTTGTAAATTCAAACCAGCAATGTGAACATATTTTGTCAAAAAGTAGGTCAGATATATGGAGATAGCATGGGTTAACAGAATATTTATCATCCAAAATATATCTAAATAATTTTTTAATAACCAGTAAGAAACCTTGTGTCAGTACTATCACAGAAATTATTCAGCAATTTACAATTCAGTAAAATAGTAAATAGATTTAAACTGAAAAATTAAAGCTTCAGGAGGCAGGTACTCATATATTTCTTAATTTAAGAATAACTTATGGAACAGAATGAAACATGTATATGGATTAGAAATCCTACTTATGTTGAGAAAAGGCTTCTTATTAGTAGACATGACAGATGATTGTAAGTAGTCCTGAATAGATTAAATTTGTGATTGCATGACAATGCAGACTGGTTATGACCTTTGCTTTTGCATAAATAGTAAATCTCTTATTTTTGTAAGCCACTAGACCTGTTTTAGTTGATCTCTGATAGAATTAGAAAACAGTTCCCACTTTTCAAGAAAGTTCCTTTTTTTCATTCTTTTTATAATGTTTAAAAATATTTATTTTAATCTCAGCCATCAGAATAAGCATAGGTATGTCTTACAACACCAACAATAAAGATAATAATAAAAACGTTAAAGTATTCAGAATTTCTTTTCAGGCAAACTCATTCTGTAAGTAGTGAAATTTGCTGTTAAACAGTGCCTATTTGACTTCTTGGTCAGTAAGTTACATTATTAAAGATCCTAAACAATAAACTTTGCTCTAAATAATACTTCCATCTCCTCAGTGAGCTGGTTTTATTTTAAAGCCTTTCTCATATGCTTACTAGACTAGTTAATTCTCTTTAGATTTCATTCAAAAGGCCTGACAAAGAGATAGAATTTGTGTACCTTTTATTTCATATACAACAAAAGAGCTTGATATGACCTACCAATTTTCTCTCTAGAAACACTGATAATTCAAAACTGTCGTTGTTTAAGATTTTTCTGTCATATGGCAGTTACCTTGTTGACATTTACAAGTGTATCCATTGATATGATCAGCACAAGTTGAGCCATGCAGACAAGGTGATGAATTACACTCATTAACTTCAATTTCACAAAATTGTCCAGAAAATCCAGCAAGACACCTAAAGAAAACAACATTCCAAAGTGTTATGCTATGCATAAATATCATATAAAATAGACCTTGTGTGGAAACAATGTGTCTAAAGTATGTGCATTAACAAGACATCATATATTACTTTGTTTCAAGGAGTATTTTACTGGAACACTTCCAAGTTTCATATTGTGATACATGCTGATCTTTCAAGGGATTTATGATGGTAAAATCCTCCAGAAATTTCACATCTGGACCATAATCAAGCATAACAGTCTCAATTAGAGTGTACTGGTTCTATCAAGGTGAATACAAACCTCTCTTTATGTACTCTTGGGAGATTGTCTACTAAAATAATTTAGCTAAGTAACTGCAGCCTTTGTTTAAAAAAACTGTTTGCTGAAAAATGTGCATTATCAAATGCAAACTACAGCATAAAATCTAATCTTTGGGGCCCAATCTTTAATTATTATTCTAGGTATAAAATATTAGTTGTCTTAAAAAAAACTCTTTGGTATTTTTGTGGTTGTAAATTATATGTGATAATTGGTATCAAAGTAGTTCTATATGATTTCAACATGTAGCTTATAAGCCTTACAAAACATTTCATGAAGTTCAAAAATACTACTAATCTCATTATTGAAACACGTCTTTGCGTATATACACAGAGCTTTATGGATATATGCAAATATGTTTCAAAAAGCAGCGTCCCATAATGGTATTGATAACATTTACTCTTTTGAGTGGTGTTGTACATGGATATATTTCATATGAGACAAAGTTTTCAAAAACTCCTTTTAGTGACTGGGTGGTGCACATCTTGTATGGTGTCTTGAGTCTAGTGAAAAGCACAAAGGTTTGTGCCCCACTTTAGAGGGAGAAGAGTACATTACCAAGCTACCTTTCAGTAAATCCTGGTAGTTATGTCACTTGCTTCTCAAAGTGCTACATTGAGTGAATACAACATATATAGTGAGAATGAAATTCCTGCAGTGCCTACCTTAACTTTCCTGGCTGTGAAGCAAAAGAGGAGGATGGACCATGAAACACATGTGAGACACATACTGAGGGATCATTACATTATGTATCAGGAATTATATTTTGTCTTATTTTTGCTTTTGACTATTAGACTATGTTTCATTTTGTATGGAATACACTCTGGGTAATGACAATTTGGAATCTACAAAGACTATAACAAGAGAATAGATTTGTCCCAGTCTGCATCAACTACAGATGACAGCTATGGCACACTGCTTGGAAAATGTACAAACTGAAGCACACACTGGATATTTTTCAAATGTCTAGTCATAATATATGAGAGAAAAAACATGGAAAATACACCTTAATGGGGGAGCCATAAGCCTGCCTGTTTTTTTGGTTGAAAAACATTAAAAAAAATTCACTGACAAGATAGAGTTTGGTCCTTTGATCTTATTTATATAAATTTATATATATTTATATATATAACACAACTTCACATATCCAACATTAATCACCCTAGCATTATTCTATGCTTGATGGAATAAGGAATCAGAGGATGATTCTGCACACTGAAATCTTTAACAGTTTTCTTCATAAACTTTGTCTACACACTGTGTACAGAGCATATTAAGAAAAAAAAAAAAAAAATAAAAATTGAAGACAGCAAATTTTCCCAGGTATGCAAAGGATGGAAAGAATATTCTTCTAGCAGAAAAAGGCAACTAGTCACACAGGAATACTGTGCCAGTTTAAATTAAATTTAAATTCAATTTTATGTTTTGGCGTAATGATACCTATTTTATCTTAACAATAAAAAAGCATTTACAGAATAAACTGGAAGAAATATACAATAATATAAAATATCTGGACAGAACAGTTACCCCTATATGTATCTAATGTGTCTGTAAAATTCAAATATTGAAAAAAGGTCTTTTTAAGAACTCTGCTGTTGGCTGCTTTGATTTGGCACATTTTGATATGTGGTGTGTATACTTGCTGAGGAGTAGACACCAGTAAAGACTAGAGCAGTTTACTGAGCTCCTGTGGTCATAACTATTTGGAGTAAGAATGATTAGGGAGCAGGTTGCTATAACTCCCATGGAGTGAATCAATAGTATGGAATCAGCTAGATATTGCAGGTTACAGCCTGGATGAACTCTGTGTAATTTCCTACTCAGAAAATCTTGAGACTTCAGAGACTCAAGGCTCTACAAAGCTTTGAGACTTCAGAGATATAAACTACATAACTACGTGCCTAACTCTATAGACACTGAGACAGTAAAGAAAAATATATATGTGTGTGTGTACATATAAATGTTTGGCAAAATAAACTATTTTGTATTGCAAGATTTCTAAATATTTATTAAATTCATAATACCATATACAGTGATTGCGGTACTACCAGAAACAGAAAAGTTTTACAAATAGGACTTTGCCTTCAAATTGAAATTTAGATGGAAGACTTAAACCCATGAAGGCACTTAGATATCCAGAATATCAAGTCCTACATATATCAATAAAAGGTGCCCTTTTTCCCATGTCAGACAATCATTCAACTTATAAAATGTTCTAAAATATTGGAAGTATTTAACATACTGTTGTGATATTTTTTTGGCAAAAACTGGAATACCACAGTATTCAGTTTGCTCCTGTTCAAAAAGAATGATGGGATGTAAAAAATTCTTCATGACTGCAAAGACAACCTTGCTGTTAACTAAATTATTCTGAGCAATTATGAAACAACTAGAAGTAAGCTAAAACAATAGCTTACTATCAGCAGCTTTCACAAATTTCCCAAAAATTGTAATAAACTTTACTCTTTATTAAAAGTTTTAATGAAGTTAACACTCCTTAAGATGCAACAAGCACTTCAATAATTTCTTAGCTTCTTGTTCACTCTCACCTTCCTTCATATCTACTCCTTTTCAATAAAAAAACTGCATTTTTGTTCTGCCAAACTCCAAATTCTTACTTCCCTTCTGTCATTTCTTCTAGAACATTAGAAAGGACAGAAACAGTAGAATTTAAATATAACAGATATTAGAAAGTTTAAGTAGGTATGGAATACAGTTCTTGTGCTATAAATATAAGTAAACAACTGATGTACTTCAGAACATATTTCTAAGTGGTGTTTTGGATATGAGCATTCTGCAAACGAAAAACAGACACTTTTAGATAGCTTTCATATGAAAGTATGATCACTGCAAATCTTGTATGTTGATTACCATCTAATAGAAAACAATTTATGTCTTTATAAGTAAATGCATATCTAGGTTTATCAGCAAATAACTCCTAGAGCTTATCTGATAACATAATGCACTGTGCAGTCTGAGCTTTTAAACTTAGAAGGATCAACATAAGATCAATAGTTTGATACGAAAGGCAGCAAAAAAAGGAGTGCTCATTTGCTATAAGAATAATGCATTCAGTTTATTTATGACTGGTTTTAGGGATGTTGACAAAGACCTTTCTTTTCTGTCATTCCCTGCAGATTTCTTATATCATATAAGATGCTGACATAATGTGGTGCAAATATAATCTCTTTTGTGTTGTGCATTTATATCAATCATTATAAGAAGTAATTATCTTAATTTGAGCATATGCCAATGCAATAGCTGAACAAAAGACTGAAAAGAGAGAATTAAATGAAGGATTTTGATCTATGACAATACTGGCTACAATAACATTAATTTTTATTTTTTTTTTTGTTAGTAAACTTTCAGCCTCAGAGAAGAACTACAAGAATCAAAACATCAGCCACATTTTTCTCTACAACACTGATTTATATCCTCTTGTAACTCACTACTCTTTGAGCCTGTTTTGTATCTCATCATTTGAGTCCAATTTTTTTACCTGTACCCTTTTCCTTCTCGCTCCCTCTCCTTCTTCATCTGCCTTGTGACCTTTTACAGCTTATGAATAATTTGTGTATCAGTGAAATATGAGGTTCAGAAAAAAAACATGGTTTCTACAACACAAAAGTTTATTAGGTTTATCTGGAGCAATGATTAACAGCAATTGTACTTAGAAGAGGATGTTTATGCTCTAACCTTTACCTGCCTATGTGACTTAGTCAACCCAGTAAAATCAATGAAGTTTGTGGACCAGTCCACATTATGAAATGTCTTGGGGGCATCAGTTTTTCTTTGTGAGTGCTAACATCAGTGACTCTTGTAATGTTTTGCTAATATCTCTAGATTAGATAATTAGGATGTTGGGCAGAATAATAGATGAATGTGAAAAGCACATCTCCTGAGCAACTGCCTTAGCTAAAATAGTCTTGTAAATGTGCAATCTCTTTTGACATTAGTAATGAATTTTTATTTTTTCTAAAATCTGCATTTTCTGCCCAAAATAAATCTAGTTAACTGCTCTACTGTAGCAGGCCAGATCTGGCACTGCAAATTTACACTGGGATTGCTATACATTATTAACAAGCTATGAAAAGTCACTGGCTAAATGTCATGGACGCTGAGATATAGCAGCACCTTGGGATTCATATAGCAAACAGTTTAGTTTTAATCATCTTGGATCACAAGGTGCCTTGACATTTGCAAGGCAACGTTTTCCTTTTTAACTTCCAGTAGAATCATACCTCTATTATCTCAATCATAATTCTTAACTTCAAATGTGATAGAAAGCTTTACTGTCTAAATTAAAGAAGTAAAAAATCAATCAAACATGAACCTTATAATTCATTTAATCGATGCTCATATGCCAGCTTGGAAAGGAAAAAAGGAAAAGCAAAGAAAACTAGATAATTTAACCAGCTTCAGGATTATTAGAGGCATTTCATGTGGAATACATGACCCCTAGCACTACTGAGGCATGACCTTCATGAGAAATGTTAGCACTACAAAATTCTGCAGAATCTTTTTAATTTTAAAGAAAAGACATGTAAGAACACTGATTAATTTTAAATATACATATCATTACAACATGATTTCTTAAAGCTTTACATTTTTGGCAGAGAAATTTTTCTGGAGTGATAAATAAAAAATTCAGTCTTTATCATACTTTACTCTTTAACAGCTAACCTTTTGGATAGTA